GGAAAAGCACATCACCCACCATTTTTCTTGCCAGAGTTTTAGACTAAGATCATCCTATTTTGAGAAATGATGAGTTGTAGCCACTTTGGTCACACCTTGAAAACAACACTATGGGCAATCTCATGTGAACTCAGAAAATGTCACGTTTAAAATATGTCAGCTACAAACATGCAATTTTAGCTCAATGTCTGTCAAGGTTATAGCCATGTTTATGTTGGATAATGTCACATACAATAGCTTAACCTTAACTCAGTTCACACCTTAATTTTGAACCTAACTCTGAGCGGTGGGCACGATTCTGCTAATCCACTACCCTGCTAATAGCAGAACTAAGGTTAGCTGTGTCCACCACTGCTAACCCTTATAAAAAACGATGTTCCACTGTAACAAGACCAGGTATTGGTCCCTATAAGGACTAGCTGTGCTGACATGGTAGGTGGTTGTACCAGAACAGGTCCAAAATGGGTATAAACATAGCTTTTTAACACAAACAATATATCATGTATTTTCTATGAAATGTCAGAATAATGTATCCCTTGCATCCTTAAACCATCAACTCTTAAAAGCTGATATTCATTTAAAGAAGACATAGTGATTTGTTGTAGCTTGAAATGACACCTCCTGAGTATGATAAAATTGATGCATAATGCAGTGCACCTTTCCCTAATGAAAACAAAATAAAAGTAATCTTGGAGGGTCAATTTCATTATGAAATTATTCCAGCTGAAATGTTATCAACATTACCAGCTCAGTGCCTCTTCAAATGCGGTCAGCAGTTTCCAAACTCATATGCAGAAATGTCTGTGGTAGCAACACACCACAAATATTTCCCCTGTGTGTGCAGCCTTGTGAATCTCATTCAGCTGGAACTGAGATGTGTTGTTGAGCAATGGCTGACCTGACATAAGGACAGATGTCTCAAAAGAGGGCAAAGTTTGTGTGTTTTTCCAATAGTTTTTTGCGTAGTTTTGTGGGGAATGCTGGTTAAGAGCTCCTCAGGGAATTACACTTTCCTGATATTTTTTTCCTTCTAAAATTCTGAAATTAATCATTACCGGTAGATGTTTTTGTCTCTCACAAACCTTGGTGACCTACTTTATGTTCAGGGAGTTGAAACAACAAGACAAACAAAAACACAACAGAATGAAAATTTGGAGTTGCTTTTGGAAAAAAAATGGTTTATAAATCTCCACTAGTCTTTTCCCTTCAAAAACCTCCGGAACATTCATTTCCTCAGAGAAAACCTCCACATCTTAACACCTGTAACAAATCTAACATGCACTCACCTGCACTGTCTTAACACTGTTCCTCACTTGGAAATAATAGTGAATAAAAGTACCCACTAAATCACAAAATGTAAACACTACATGAATGAACAAATTTATTGTTGTATACAGCTATAATAGATGTTACCCTTGACCCAAATAATGCCAATTTTGTTGCACATCACCAAAAAGTGAAGGAGGCGTATAATTTTGCCTATGTTTGTGTACATATGTTTGTGTGAGCTTTATTAGGAAAATATCTCATGAACCACTGGGCAAATTCATATTTCAGTAAATAATCGTTGGCTCTACAACTTATAGCATCTGGAGCTAGGTGGTTACCACTGCTCAGTTGACTGTAGAAAACAGAACAATGGCCAAAATTCTGTCAATTTCACAAAAAAAACTTTTTGCTAAAAACTTCAGCACTTATAAACAATTGTTATCATAGGGTTATTTCATATGTATTATTTTAAAGAAAATTACACCCTTAATTTTTTTATATATGTATATTTTTTTAGTTTAGCACCTTATTATGGTGCTCATACATAATTACGCATGGCCACAAGATAATTTTAAGCAGTGTTTACACAGTGATACAGACATTGTTAAAGTCAAATTTTGAATATGTTGTATTTTTTTTGAACTGTTCAATGGTAGCCTACCCCCTCACTTATTATTATTTGATGCATGTTCGTCTTTCATAGTAGGCTTGAAGAAATTTATAGTTATTACAGGTCAGCACTGATGTTAGAAGCACAACACTAGATTCTTAGGTTTTCCTTTTTATAATGTTTGATCTATTATTTGTTGATTGATATAGAGTAGTTACATGTCCGAATCATAAACAGCACATAATTGAAACGTTATTATAACATTAGATTGAGACCTTTGTATGAATGCCTGTGATTCATCCGTAGGTCAGTAGGGGGCGAACTCAGGCATTGAAGAATCATTAAATTGATGCACTTTCTGGCTTTTAGTCAGTGTGGTTTTTCCTGTCAGCTCCACTTGGCAATAAACCTCACTCACTTCCAGATTCTGGTTTTGTATGGTTTTATTCCTTCTACAAATCATTTTATTTAACTTTGGTGATTTTCATATTGACTTGACTTCAGTCTATTGAACACATAATTTTCTTACAGGCTGTTTACAAGATGAATGCCCTAAGTTTGTGTAAGGAAACAGATTTTGGAAATGATCACATGGCCACGACATAATCATTGCATGGGCACATGATCGTTTTTTTTAAATCCAATGTGACCAGAAAAGCTCCTTAAAATTGTATACAAATTTAACAGAAAATAAATATTTAATTCCTTGGCTTTAGGTACCAGATGTTGGTTAGGTCTCATAAACACTCTCACACAGAGTTTGACACTCATCGAATGGCAGCTGTAAGGATGATGTGTCTTTGCTCTTAGCTTTATTTTTAGACATCACCATGTGCACCCATTCACCTCTCACAGACATCTGTGACTTTAGTCAGAATGTAAGGATCACATCATTTCCAACAAAAACAACCTCAAGAAGTGATGAAAGAAAAGGAAGCAGCGCATGCAGGCACTTTATATTCAGGACTTTGATGATACAAATTTAATCACAGTCAAAAGAAATGACCTAATGAAACAGGTATTTAGGTTCAGTATTCGTAAGATCTGTTGTGTGCGAATAAGTAAGTCATTGTACTGATGTCAGCATTAAACTACTTCACCTACAAGTCTGCCATGAACAATTTCAGGGCATTTCTGCTGACCCAAACTGATAGAAACCCAAAAACATTTCAAACATAGGTTATACTGTATTTTTATTTTTCACCAAAAAACAAGGAATGGGAAGAGTTTCTATCTTTACCATGTAATCACACCCACAGGAAATCATTTATGTTGTAATGAGTTTGAAACCGGGAAAGGCGGGGAATCATTAAGCAGGTGTCTGAAAGGCTCACCAAAACCATTAACTAGTTTATTCTGTTTACAATGAGACAACCACAGCAAAAACTCAAACTCAAACTTTTTTATGTTTTTGCAGTTTTGACTCATTGAAATATTTGATATCAGCAATAACAAAATGGTAACTTGTTGAGATTTTGTATTAATGAGTGTTTAATGCAGGAAATGTGTGGTCAGAAGGCACAGCATTACTGCTTAAATGCATTAAAGCAAAATACAATGTCCCTGTTTGTCTTTACACACACACATCTCATCCAAATGTGTGTTTGGAAGAAATTCCACTAATTTAATGCAATTTTAGCTTTTGATCATAACTTCCTACAAACTGCATCGAATCATTTGACGAAGTTTCAGTCTGTTTCTTTGTGTTTGCATCAAGACTTTAAAGTGGATGTTAAAAATGTAGCTTTATTCTTCATTCTAATATAGTATATGCACTTAAAGATTAAAAATATGTATAAATGATGAATATGTGTAGCTATATGCTATTGCATTTTTGGGCAAAGTACGAAAATCTTTAGTATTTTGTTATAATTCTTTACAGTACGTGTAAAGTGTGAATGAGACAACTTTTTTTGTTACTGTACCTCACAAAAGCACTTTGACGAAATGAAGGCCAGCCAACATGTTCTCAAAAAAAAAGCTATCCTCTCTAGGTTGAAACTCAAATTGGGTCTCACAGAGGTGGAAAACACAAACCATGTGTTACCAGCTGTGGCCAGTGTCCATTTCAGATTCAGCTGTGTTTCTGTAATACAATGGCTCATTA